CCCCAAAACCCCAAAACCCCAAAACCCCGAGGATTGGATGATTTAAATTTAATAGCAAAAATAATAAAATTGCAATCATATTTAATAGTAGATTTAGAAAATTGTCTTAGATCAGCAACAAAAAATGGAAACTATTTATGAGAATCTAAGTGAAAAAATTATTCAAGTTTTGGGTTAGGAATTTGAAAGCCACGTAAATCGAATTAAGAATAACGGGATGACTTATCTCCCTCAAATATTGAATAATGAAGATTTAGTTTAAATGTAAAATGACCTTAAATAATGGGAAATCACTAGTGGAAAATAATTTAAAGCTGATTAGCAAATGACTTTTGACGGAGGAAATAGTAAGGAAGGCTATGTATCACGGTCTAAAACTTTTAGCAAAGCCATTTCGAATAAGATTTATACTGCATTAGCTTCAGCAGTCTTTAATACTCATCCAAGATTGGGGTTTGTGAGAAAATCTATAATATTACCTATAGAGCCATATGAACAAAGGGCATTTTAATGGCATCATGATGGATGGGGGAAAGACTTAATTAAAATAATGATTCTTATCTCAGACGTCCCTGAGAACGGGCAAAGAATGCGTTATTGTGCTGGCACCAATTAGTAGAAATGGAACAGCAACAGATCTAAGCTTACTTAATTTGTTGGCAGCTTCGTTAAGGATTACAAGTATGTCAACACATCTGGGAAAGCTGGTGATGTTTATTTATTTATGCCTAATGCAATGCATGCAGGAACTAGAAATAACACTTAAAGAAGAGATGTCATAATTTTTGATTTGCTACCAGAGCTAAAGAGGAATTATGGTATGCCTGGATTTCATCCAGAAGTTGTTGGCACACATTTTACTGATTATTAGAAACTTATACTGAGGGTAAATGAAAAAGATGCAGTTATGCATTTAGAGAATCATGATGAGGAAAACCAGAAATTCCTCAAATAAGCTAATCAGCTTCTTGATGTCGATTAAGAATATAACATAAAATGCTTTGATGCCCCTACACTTTTATCACTATAATCTATAGACAATCAGAAGAACTTGGAAATTGAGGAGGTAGGAAGATTTAATCTTGCTGTACCATTAACTTACCCAATATTCAAAGGACACTGTGAGATTTCTTAGGCAGATTAGTTTAAGAAAATGTTTTAGGATAAAATAATAATTGACATTTCTAAGCATATTGAAATTTTTGGAAATAGATAATAAGAAAAAATCGAGATTTAGAAATATTTTAGAAAATAAATTGGAATAGATTTACTTAGGGATTTCGATTTACCTGTAGAGGTAGATCATCCGAATTCTGATATGATTAGGGATACTGCTCTGTTAAATATTAGAGACAATCATTTTGGAATTCACTACTAGATTTTAGACATTTAATTAGCAGAACTAAATTTAAATCAAATTGCTAGCATAGATTTCAATGCAATTAGTCAAAATACTTAGCATCTATTAAACCAACAGTAAGTACTTCTAAAAGCGTATGAGTCTGGTTCCTAGGATTATAGAGACTTGTTTTGTTTATTCAGGCTGCTAGGTAATATTTAAGAAATGCTTCAGAGAATACCAGATTACTAAACATTAAGAATAAATTTAGCGTATTTGTACTTTGGTTCAACGATCATTTAGGGCTATCTTTAAGAAGTTGAAACTACTTCTCGCAGTATATTCATTAATTACCTAGCTACCATTATATATCATGAATTCAACCCGAAAATATCTATTATTGGAGGTGGGCCCTTTAGTCTTTCATTCGGCTATAATAGCTTGATTTAAAATCAACTAACTAATTGGCAGATATTTGAAAGTACTAATGTTTTTGGAGGGTTAGCTCAGTCTTTCAAAGATTAAATGGGATTTACATGGGATATTGGGGGTCATGTTGTATTCGAAACTTATGAATCATATACTAGAATGCTTGATACCTTAAAATTAGAATATAATCAGGTCAAGAGAAAATCTAAGGTTTGGATTAAAGGTTAATAAATAGATTACCCAATTTAGATGCATTTGTGGTAATTAGATCAAGATGATTAATAGCATATTCTCAATGATTTGGAAGGCAAAGAATCTTAATTATATTCAGATATGAATCCAACAAATTACTATGAATGGTGCCTAAATCATTTTGGATAAGAGCTAACAGAATTTTTTTTGAGACCTTATAATGAAAAAATATGGGGCTGCAAACTGGAGGAAATGAATACTACTTGGACTGGTAAAAGATTCCCTACTATGAATTTAGATGAAATTAAAAGATCCATATCAGATTAAAAAGTCTAAGAATGGGGATAGAACGCATGCTTTAGATATCCTCTTGAAGGAGGGAATGGTGCTGTGTGGTCAAAATTAGCAGAGATATTGCCAAGAGAATAACTTTTGTGCAATCAAAAAGTAGTAAAAATCGATCCAATCAAGAAGTAACTATTCTTTGAAAACAATACATTTACTACTTATGAAAGATTAGTCTCTACAATGCCATTAACACATCTTTTAATGATACTAGATGTTAATGATGACTATCTAAAATCAATTGATGTCAATGAATTTAAACATACTGAAGCCTATATTATAGGTCTTGGTATTGAAGGGTAATTACAGGATTAATTCAAAGATATGAGTTGGAGTTATTTTCCTGAATGCAAAGAACCATTTTATAGGGTAACTTGGCTATCAAATTATTCAGACAAAGTAGTTCCTGATCCATCAAAACATTTTTCTTTGCTTTTGGAAATTAATAAAAAAAGTATTGATACAGACAATCATGAACTCATTTTTCAGAAATGTATAAGTTCCTGTTTGGAATTAGGGTTGATTAGCGAAAATTGTAATGTTATAAGCAAATTCATTAAAGATATTAACTTCTCGTACCCAGTACCATTTTTAAGAAGAGATTAGATTGTTAATAACTTATTAAAGTATTTAGAAAACAAATATGCAATCTACAGCAGGGGGAGATTTGGAGATTGGAAATATGAGAATAGCAATTAAGATTAGATATTTATGGCATCAAAGGATTTAATTTTGGAAATAGACGAAAATATTAAGATTATATGAGTGTTTAAACATTTATTATTTAGTTCAAATAAATATTTACTAAATAATAATCATTAAAAATCTAGTATTATGGGGTTTTGGGGTTTTGGGGTTTTGGGG